ATCAGCGTATAGTTGCAATTTCCAGAGCCGGGTACAAAACTCTTGAGGGAGTAATACTCCAAGGAGAAAGCCCGAAGGATATTTCTCCAATAAGCTGATCAATTTCTAACGAGGTCAGAATTGCTGAAATAAATAATAAAAATGTTTATTTGTAAAATAAAATTAGTCTCGAACAAAACAAATAAACATAGAGTACTCACAGAAGGCAGTTAGTTGCCTTTGCGCGGGTATTTTACCTATACGAAACATTGTCATTATATTCTGATATATTTTGATATATTCTTGATTATTATTGAATATATGATTATATATCACACAATTACACAAATTTATCTTATAATATATATCCTTTTAAGTTAGCTGAATTTAAAACCTTATAAATTTCTACAGTTCTAGAAGTAGGTCAGTTTTTGTCCTGAAAATCTGAATATACGTTAATTTATTATTTCATTCATCATATACGATTGTTCTTGCATCCACGGTTTTATACGTTTTTTGTATGTATAGTAACTAGTGTGTTGTCTACATTCAACTTGCATTTTGGTATTAGCGATCTCAATTTATTTGTAAGATACTCAACCTGAGCATTCCATTTAAGACGGTCGTCAATCATTATCCCCAAATATTTTATGTTAGATGCTCGATTTATCTTTATACCATTATTATTTTTTATATCTACCGATGAGAAATTTAGAGCAGTTTTAAGACTATTATAGAAAGGTGAGAAAAATGTTTTACTAAAATTTATTGTTAAAATTTTAGTGTAAAAAATCTGATTATATTTTCGAAGTCTAACTCTGCTGCTTTCTGAACCGATTCCCATGATTTATCCTTGTAATAAATTACTGTGTCGTTGCGAAACTCGTTATTTTGACATATACTAAGAATAGGACCGGTCCTAAAACAGTACCCTGAGGCACACCATAATTAATAAGACGTTCTTCGCTTACTTGATCTCCGATTTTTATACATTGTTTTCTATCGGTTAAGTAGCTTTCCATAAGCGTGTTTGCATTTTACCTATAAAGCCTAAATGTAAATAGGTGTGAGACTTAATAGGCCAGCGAGCAATAGAGGATCGTGATTGATTCGCTCACAAAAACCTAACCTAGTTGCTGTAACAATGCGCAAATTCTCCTAGTCACACATATTCCTAAGTTTAAAAATAATCGAGCTAATAAGTTAAAAAAAAAATTAAAGGGCCATTCCGGTCCAGCATCCAGCGTGGAAAGGTAGCATGTGTGTCAGTATCCGAATCAACTGGCGCGTGTTCAGGTTACCTATCTTTTGATTTTCAATGGAATGGAAAAAAACGAAGTTATTAATAACGGAGATATTGATTTGATGTTAGTTTACAGTGAGTGTATCTAAGATTTTACTCATGCTTCGCGAAGGTATTTGGATCGCTTTCCTGGATGTCTCCATCCCGAGCTGCATAGGAGTATTTATACCATGCAAAGGCAGAAGACCTAGATAGCCCTAAATTTGCCCAAATGATACAAGTTTAGGAACAAGTTAACAAACCTGTGATTCTGAATTTAACGGCGACAACATCAACAGTGTTTACGAGAAGGCAGCACTTGGAAGAATACTGACTGTTATTCTCCGATTTTTTTCTAACGGTTTTGCTGCAGCTTCAGCGCACATTCGCTTTGATATTTTATATGCAGTCGCTTCACCTTGTCTGGAAAGAGGTGCTGAAGCAAGTAAGTGCCCATCCTGGTTGGTCAATTGCTATATTGAATGTTGCCAGGGAAGGAAGTTTGTATAAATATAGGCCTGGGAATATTTTGCTTCCATGATACGGGATGTTTCAACCTGTCCATATGAGACTACACTCTACAATTTTTGAAAACATATTGACATACTGGGATGGTTTTCAGTTCACGCAAATGCATTACCAAAGATCATTTTAAAATTCTTTTAGCGGCGTTCGTGCCGGAAAGTTTAGCGAGAAAAAAATTGGGGTTGATTCTGCACTTCCCAAGCAGCGCCGTCATCAGCTCATAAAGTACTAAGTTCAGCGCAATTCAAATCCTCTGAGAAAAAATTGAGCTTCGGACATGTATAACAGCGAAATAAATCATAATAAGTTAGTGAAACAAGCCCATATAATCAGTCCATAGCCCATTCCCTCCCTCGCCCTGCCCTACTGATAGTTAGCGACCATGTGGCAACATTATTCCTTTCCACATCTAACCGGCATATCTGCAGCGAGTTATATGTCGTTTCGTGCAAGGTCCGTATGTTTTTTGCGGTCCAGTACGGAATACGGATAAATACATAAGTTGGACTTACATAAGTTGGACTCCAGGCAGGAGCACGCGGATCGAAAACATTTTTCCATAATTCTAAGTTTGAATGGCAAATGTACGGGTAAACCTGCGATGTGTGAAATATAGCTAATAGGTGCATAAAATTACCGGACTTGGGAGCATATAGGTATATACTAAGATCAAAAAATTTCATATACCCTCTCACACCCTCTGCAACTCTCTCCAAAAGTTTTGCTAAAAATGTTTCAGGACCCTATAAAACGTCAAAAAAGTGTGAGCGATTTTTATTATTTTTTTTCGTTCACGCTGCCACTGGATCGATTTTCAAAAACTTTTTACTCGCCCAGTGGCGTATAAGGTGAATATGGTATCAGCATCTTAAGACCAGATTAATTCTACTCAAAAAAAATCTATTTATCGCTATTGAACAATACTAATTCAACAGAAATTTTTTTAACTCCGCATACGGGAACTTATCCTTGAATTTTTCTGACAACTCCCTAAAGGTTAGGTTTCTTGTGAGTGCATCAATAACGATTCTCTACTGCGACTCTTCGGTCTATTGTGGTTCCCTGTAACACCCTGCGTAAAATCTAGAACGGTATCGTTTGGTCACAAATCGGGCATGTACCCCTTTGTCCCTCCCTAATCCGCGCTTTGCCGTTTAACGTACACGAACCATATCGGCCCATTTAATCTGATGCGAAGGGAAGTCGTGCAAAAAATGCGGCAAAAAAGAGAAGCCCCATTATAAATTGATTTCAAATAAACAGCCCTCTAATCGTTTTATTAAAAGGGAAAATTAAATATTTTCTTTTCCAATCAAACGGGGCGGGAGATTTTTGTTGCCTTTTTCGACAGCCGAGCAGTCATTTATTACTCTTTTGGATAAATTCTTCGGTGGACAAGGGGCAGTTTTATTTGAGAAGTAATTACTTCGGGAGTTATTTGCCCTTAAGATGCACTGGACAGGAAGGACTTGCAGATGATTTGAATCAATATTGATTTTTACAAGATGTAGGTCGAGAGGGTTTGGTAGGAAGATTATCATATTCGATGTAGTGGATGTGATTGCTGAAGCTAAGAAGCTATATTGCTACAGGAGCATTAGGTCCAGGAAGTATTAAGGGCAAACGTATTTGGATCTGCACGGATAGCGAACATGCTGATGGATTAGCAAAAGCTGCTGGACCCGAATACTGCACCCAGTCTCCCGTATTATGTCTGTCATCATAACTTTACTAAAAGAACATCCGATGATCCGGTTTCGATGGATGGCGGAGGTCTACCAAAGAGTCATTAATTTCGGCTGGTTGGAGTCCAGATCAGCGAGAATTTGATCCGGCACGAACACAACTCGTCAGCAGAGGCAGCTAAGCTATTTGTTTAGGGCTAAGAAGTACTTTTCTCCACATGCCCGCTTCACTTTGTACAAGGCAGAGATAAGACCTAGCCTCGAGTACTGCTCACAAGTTTGGGGTGCTGTAGCCCCGACGATATTATCCAAGCTCAATGCTGTTCGAACCTCAAATGAACAATGTTTCTTTAACCTATTCATAGATAGATATGTAAAGCTTCAGCTTCTGTATAAAAAAAAACACTCACAACATTTTAAACATACTGAGATGATTTGGATAACTTCAAAAATTTTATTTTGAAGGGGTATTACTATTTTGTAGCCTTGAATAATATTCCTGGTGTTTTCACTGGTTCCGTGTACGGGAGATGGCAAATGTGCGCTCCAAAGATCTAACTTGAAACAGGCCAAATATGTGACATGATCATTTCTAGCGAGTCGTAAGCTTTTCCATGCATTATCTTAGAAAGTGATACTGTTTCTTCCATGGACGTAGAGCTTTCGTCGGATATGAGACAAATTTTACCGTCTGACACTAGCAGTGTCTGATTCGGTTGACCATTTTTTTATTAAGATGAGAGAACTTCAGAGCAAACGAACTTGGTTGGTTAACTGCACACTCAATATGGAGCGGTTAGATGCTACGTTCATTCTGTTATGTTTCATGGAACGGAAACCCGGGCAATAGATGTTTCTCTCATCAAGAGGCTAGAAGCTTCTTGAAGACAAATCTCGTTTCAAACGAAACAGTCTTAACAGAGAATGATCGAGAACTCTTAGCCACAAATACACAACCAGCAGCATATTTGAAACATATTTGGAACAAGAAGAATTAGTTGCCTCAGCTGATCCTGAATGACAACATTTAGGATTAACAAGGTTTTGGAAGGAGGCTGAGACTGAACTGGGCTAGATACGGTAGATGCGAGGTAATGCCACTGGACATATCTAATGAAACGAACACTTCGTCAGGTTATAATACCATTTCCTTAAATAGTTTGGGGTAGCTGATGATACTGCTTACAAGAACACCGAGGAGGAATCACAAGAAGTCAATGTAGCCCCTGTGATTTAACCTTCGCGAATGGCCTTTCCTTCAGGGAATACGGAATGAGTCGACGGTGATTTCTTGCCAATTTTTATTGGCACTAGGTCACTTGACAGTTTTTAGGTAAGATTAAAAACTAGTGTTTCATCTAGTAAAGATCAGAAGAAATTTTTGATCTATTTTGAGAGAACAAATACGAAACATTAACGCCTCCATCAAATCCTGCATTTTGATAAAAAATAAAAAAATCATGTACACTGGCCATCACTAAACGATAACCATCTCAAGCTGTTAGAATCCTTTTGGATAATAGATACAATGTAGGCTTCACGTATTGGTAGTCACCAGGCTCTTTTGTGTTGTGAATTCAACTAAGTCATGCATTTATGAAAACGTTCTCACCTGTATGCAACCTGGTATGCTGTTGGACATGGCTGAGCTGCTTGAACCTGCGATCGCAGTAGGAACATTTGTACGGCTTCTCTCCGGTGTGCACCCGGATATGCTGGACCAGCTGGTGGTTACTGCTGAAAGACTTGAGGCACTGCTGGCATTGGTGTGGTTTCACCTCGGATCTTCCCGTCAACTCCCGAGCATGCATCTGCATCGCAGATTTGTGCATGAAGATCTGCAATAGGAACGTGACGATCAGAAGTGGGATCGAATTTGGGGTTGGTGTCTGTAAGGTGTGTTGTGGAGGTGTAAGGTGTGTCATTGGATTGGCTGGAGGATTTTTAGGCTTTTTAAGCTCCACAGTTGCTTTCATGATCTTGTATAATTGAGCTCTTAGTTACTTTGTATAGCTCACTGAATTCCAACAGATCCATTAGGGTATTGTTAGGTTTATATTCAGGGTATTTTTATAGCATGGATATCCTGAATAAAGAATCTTGTATAGTTGAAATTTTTGTATTGGTTCTCTGAGTCAACGTTGCTGGTAGAGACTCCTTCAGGGAAGGCGGCAACTCTATTTGTGTTTTTATTCCATATATTGTAAAATGTTTTAATATATCTGAAACGCAGGTTGTTTATGTCGGTTTGGAGTACAGAGATTTGTAATCAGTTGATAGGCTACCAAGATTTTGAGAGCACTATAATTTAAATTACATAAAATTATTTTACTTTACCTAGAAAGATTTAAGTGTGAGATATCAATAAAATAATAACTATAATTTTTAATGTCTTGAATGACATAGAAATATTGTTTATATGCCTGATGTTCTATCCTCAAAACATATGTACCTTACGCAAAATTGACAAGGGTTTATGCCAATATGAAAGTATGGTTTATTCACTCCGTAAATGAGCGTACAAAGAAAGAAACACCGTCCTACGAAACTATCCTGTACGTTTTGTCGCTTTCTCTACGAACTTGCAATTTTATACATTATTTATTGATAATGATGTAATGGATATCCACTTCCAACTAGTACTTTGTCTAATTAAAACAAATAGGAAATATTAAAATAACACACACATAAAAAATTGATTGCAATAAAAATTACATAATTACGTTAATGCCTGCCTTAACACATATCTGGATCATTTTCATAATATTACCATTTTTATGTGACACAGCGGTAATGTTAATTGGATATAAATGTTAAGATCCTTCTGAACATATTGATTGTGTTTTATGGCAAATTGTGGTGGTGTGGTGGTCTTATCTTATTTCAGAACCAGTGAATATTTAAAACAAGTATGTATATGGCATAATCCCTTCCCAAAAGACAGTAACCCATAAATCATGATGATGAATATAAGCTGTATTGGTTTAGGCAAAATATCAGCAAAGCCTTACATAGGTGGCGTTCGTAGCGTGAAAACAGTCGACTATTCAAGCTGACTTTCAAGCTTATGCGTTTTCGAATGACGTACCGTTATTGTATTCATCATACTTATTTTGCATTCATAATCTTAGTCTTTCATCCAACTCTCAATGATGACACGTAATCACTGAGCCTTTTCATTGGATCAGCTGCAAGTTCTATTTACCAATTTCTTTCCTCAACAATTTTTCTCGATTGCACAGCCTAATGAACAAGTCAGAGGGAATGAAAATTATGATTTATTTTCAACCCTTCTTCGTGCCCGTCCCTCGAGATAAAAAAGACATTATACTTCTATTTCTCAGGCTGCGCTCGCGAAAAAAGCAATATCTAAAAACCGCAACGGGCGTATATCACAGCCCGACGTTTTGAATGTCCTAGAGCTACTTTAATTTTCTGTTTGTATTATTAACGACTCTTTCTTTCTGCTTTTGCGCGAATTATTAATTTTTTACGTGGTGGCCAGCTAGATGTTGTGGACTTTGTGCCCCACAGAAAATGAGTGGTGTAGCGCTTCTATGCTGAATAATAGTAGCTATGAAATAGCGCTGTCGATGTGACAGCAGTTATCACTCGAGTGTCAGATTTGATAGTTTGTTGATTAGGGCCCGTATCGTCAGTCGTCCCTACAATTGTAGGGCGCCTTTATGGCCTCCTTGATTGTCATAGTTTTCTACTTCTCCGTGTCAGCGCTCTATTTTGAGGTTATGTCACAAACATCTATTTGCATCAAATTGTGCTGGCTTTTGAGTTATATCATGTTTTATCAGCCTGAAATTTCCTACAATTTAAAAAGAAAACATATCTTCGCAATAGGAGAGCGCTGTCGGGGACAAGTGTAATCTAGACATTTTTGAAGGAGAGAAATGTGTATGACAATCAAGGAGGTCATAAACGCACCCTGCAATTGTAGGGACGACTGACGATACGGGCCTAAGTGTTGCGAACTATCAAAGCTATTCCTTCTCTCAAAAAAGTGCAGTGCTCAGGAGTCATGTTCCGCCTCGGGAGGGGTATCAGCGATTGAAAATTCGGCGCTTCAAAATTAAAGAGCAGGGGAGGGGTCGTCCGCAAATTGGAAGACCATCAAAAATCTTGAAGTGACATAGGTGGAGAATGGGTCGCTTGGACTCCATGTAGGTCCTGGTGTCAAAATGATATCGCATCCAGAATCCACGCTTGCTCTAAGAACACGATATAGTAAAGTCCAGATATCCGCAGGGATTTTCGGAAACCTTCTTACAAATGGATAAATATGTCATTCAAGTAAGTTGGGACGCCGAATTCAAATAAAACCCTTAAGAAATCTTAATTAAAACAATAAGCAAATATAATAAAATAAAAAAAATCATGAAGTATCGTGGGTAGAATTTAAGGTAAAAAATGTGTGATTTGTAGCTTCCCATCAAACTGCCGTCACATTCAAAATCTGCGCACCCGATTTACTTACAAAATAAATTTTTATACCTGCAGATCTCTTACCAAGGAATGGGTATTTTTTTCTTACAAAGAGCGTAGCAAATTTTTTTTAATAGAAATAGAATACTTCTTTTAAATGATATTTTGATAAACGCGTTCATTCAATTATCTCTTAAGCTATCGATCTTACATAAAAAGTGGCGTGTTCATTTTTGTATAGAACTAAATTCTCCATAATTTTAATCCTATACAATTTTGCTGTACGGTCAACAGTTTACGAGAAGGTTAACGTAAGGTTACAAGTAATTACATTTTTGCTTATAACCGCTAACCCAAAATTATTGATTTTCTTATCACTTCTTATGCAGAATAAGATTTGCTATAAAGAAGGTCTAATGGGGGTAGCTCCATAAATATAAGTGATATGATAAACCTTCATTAACAACTACATACCATTAAAATCACTGCAACGGTTGCTAAAAGTACGCAGTGCCAAAAGAGATGGAAGCGAGTGATTTTCATAATCCAAAAATATGACATTTTCCATACAAGGGACAGTAAAAAAATTAATGTGCTTTAAAATGTTATGTTTATGAATATTATGGAGTTGTCCCTGCGTGAAATGGTATCTAACAAGCCAGCTTTTGGGAGACAGGGATTCTGGAGATCTGTTTCTTAGGAAACTTAAAAATTTGGAGTGGAAAATTGCATCCTTTCTAGTGAATGACACTTAGGTAATTTGAGGCATCAAGCTTGAATATGACGGTCAAAAACTCGTGTCGTAAGGCTGAAATGAAGATGAAAAATGGGTTGTCTTGGGCCTGACATAGGTCGCAGCGTCAAACTGATGCCAAATTCATAACAACCGATTTATACATACGACTCTTTGCGTATCAAAAGTCTTTTGTAGTTTTCTTTCTTTGAAGGACGCAATTTGCATTTCTACCGGCCATTACTGCAAGTGGTACTTGGTATATATGAGTAATCTGTGGCACAAAAATTGTGAGGTGGAGTGGGGTCGATTCTGAGGTAAAGAAATTGTTGTTTGGGAATCCCTGTGGATCCTAGCCTTGTATTTATATTTTTGTTTATGTTATATGGCTGAAGCTTTTTCATTGGACCCTAATGCATTGCAATTATTTCACCTATAACAATAAGCAGACTGAACAGATTGGGTGTGTATAAAATTTGTAACAGGAATTGCTGTTATGACTAGCTGATTATCGTCATCAATATTGGGAGAGTCGGAGGTGCGCCATCTAATGCCGAGTTGTTCATTATATGGTGGCAAATTTGTTATATATTTTGCTTAGGTTAATTCATATACACGATGTCTGTGGCCTTGATTTTCAGAAACATGACTTTTCAGTGCGAGGAGTACTAATATTTATCTTTATTATTGAGTATAGATGTTGATTGTTATTATCATCAAAGCTATTCATCCCGATGCAACCGAAATCCCGTAGTATACGAACCAGGAAGTCCAATAATTGGTTCCGTAGCCATCAGCGTGGGAGTACGTGGAAGACTGATCAATATGCGTTTTCACTTTAATTGTTCGCTCCGAAAAAGCAGATGTTCACCGCTGGGTCGTTTGTTTAGAGCTTTTTTTTCGTAAATCGAAGACATAATGGGGCTGCCCCCCGCCCGAAGCGAACCGGCCAAGCTCGCGTTGAAACGTATGCCTATCGAAGCGTTCAACCGTTGGTCGTCGGTTGATTTTTCGGTGCCCATGTCGTTAAAAGTCAGTGTGCTTGAATAACTACAAGCTTAAGAATTTTAGATGAAATTATGGTCTTTGAGTTATATGTGTATTATGATCTGACAGTGTCCAGAAGTTTCTTGGTCCAAATAGTTCCTTTTATTGATTCGATTTAATAGTTTCGACCTCATAGCCATTCACGATTCCTGTCAATTCCAATTACTTTCGATTCAGGTTTCCGCAACCTCAAAACATAACAATAATAATAATAATAATAATAATTTATGCTCCGTCACACGTGTATACTACACAAGGTGTATTAACTGATACCTCACCGCAAGTGCTATGTAGGCTGGAGCCTTTTTTAACAATATCCGATGAGTAGTGCTAAGGTCCGTTAAATCGTTTTCAGGATAAAAGTTTTATTTTTTTAGGAACATCGACTTTTTTGATCTCGATAATTTTTTCAGTTGGCATTGTTCACAGTATATGCACAAATGTCACCCTGACTTATTGAAATGAGAAAGACAAACTTTTCAACCAATTCACCCAAATCCACTAAGGAAAGAAATCGATGGACTTAACCAGGCGGTCATGACCACGAAGACTTTTTTCAATTGATGAAATGACTAATATCAACAAATTTGAAGAAAAGCTGCAAATGGATTGTTTGGATTTTGACCGCAGGAGAATTTAACCTTGTACCTTGCAGAATACACTCTATTCGCCTATACAAGACTCCAATATGGAGTTCATAATAAAAAATGAGGTGAATGATTGAGGACAAGATAAGAAACGTCAGATTGAAATTCTAATCATACACCTTAAATAAAGTCAAAAAAAAAATAAAAATGTAAAAAGACATTTTCTTTCGTTTATCTCTAGAAATAGAATTGCAAAACTTTCCAAGTAAGATTTTCGTATTTACGAGTAAATAAAATGCGCAACTCAAGCCTCATTCAAACAACTTCCTATCTCTTACAGTTTCCACCCGGTATAGTCTATTTATATACTAAGTGACATATAAATCCGAACACCCAGTTTAAATGGTTTTATTTTAATAAACGTTGGTGAATGTATTTATCTTACTGTAAATAACAAGTGAAAAAATTTTCAGCCTTATCAGTTGGACATTCCGGTT